TGAGAAACGTATAAGAAAGAGTTATGTCCTTTTCCAGGTCATTCAAAGTGAGAACAGAGTAGTTGGAAAGCGGGAAACCGCCTGTGTGTCTTACACTTTTACGATACTCCATGCAACCAGCCAGTATTGCTTATTTTATGATAATAATATCTACAATTAGGTGATCATCAAGCATATTTGCTAACCTCGAAGCAAGTTCCTTCCATCCCTTAGGATCGACTGACTGCATAACTACATTCGCATTGAATCGCGCTCTTCGCCTCAATCTTTGGAGGTCTGTCCTGAATAGTTTCAAGTACAGCCAGGGTAACTGAACCAGATGGCAAGGTTATTTTGAAGACCTGAAGCTATCACGCTAAAAGTGCAGATTATTGAGATCATGTTTGGTAAAGAATCAGGACCGTTGAAAAGGCATTCTGAGACAGTGCACCCGCGGCAAAAATCGAATATCGGCCTTTCAATGTAATGAATGGGGGGGGGGTCATTATCATCAGTGTATAATCGCGTTGTAATACATCATCATGCTTTCTTTGCAAACAGCGTTAATCCGCCATCATCTTCTAAAAAATGAGAAACCACGTGATCGATCAGACTCTAGCACGTGGTCATTCGACTGGAAATTCGAGATGTTGCCTACTGTCCTACATTAGCTGTGATCCTTAGAGGAAACAAGTAGCCGTTTGTAAAACCTCTTTGCTTTCAAGTCTATCAACGGGAATCCTCAATTTGGCAGTTCCGTCAAGCTTTCCGCTAGCGTTCATGAATTTCCACCGTAATTACTGGTACTTTGCAAACGATCTCCTTAATTTCAAGCTTACAAAACATCTTGCACAATGCTTGAAGTTATAAATGACTAAGATTGGCAGGGAAATTGAGAAGTTACCTTTCTTAAAGTCATGATAACTAGTTTTCTATTTTATAAAACTTTTTTTCAATGGAACTTAAACACTTTAAATGAGCAACGATTAGCAAACAAAATGACATCTTTCACTTTAATGACTGAGCACATGCGAAAAAGCGATAATCAATAAAACGATTTCTGTGGCGTTGCAATCGATAACAGGTAATTAGTGAAGGTGTTATGACAGAAAGGTTCTATTGCAATTTTGTGAATAGAATCGGAATACGGAGAACCATATAGACACAAAGCCTGATGAAAAATGCATTTGTAAATATTCGAGCGTCATCGTTAAACGGTAATATCTGAAAGACTTCAGACGTCATCAGATTCGCAGGCGTCTGCGAAGAGCAGAAGCTTGCATGGGCGAAATTCATCAGAATACGGCAAAGTCGAGGCTTTCATCGGCGATTTATTTCCTTGTGATGCCACAGATTATTCCACCGCCTGTAAATGACAAACAAGTACAAGTAGGAAAAGAGAGAACAGAAAAAGTTGACATGTGCGCGTTGTTCCTCAATGTCGCAGAACGTGCGAGCGACTAATGGAGTGACCGAGCGAACGTATCCACTGATTTTCACACAGGCTGCTGTCTGGTGACCTGCCTTGAACCGACCAAGTCGTACAGTTGGGATGAGTTATCGCCAAGAACGTAGATTGACTAAGACTAGGTGTTTGAGTCAGAACTTGCTCGCGATCTGAAATCACGGCGGTCGATGTCGACTGCTTGCCGAAATCAAGTTATTACTCAACTATAGGCTGGTGTGTGAGACCATGTCAAATTACCGCGGTACCTGTCGCAATCTAAGTTATAGATAATTTAACTTCCTTTTGGTTTTACACCTCGTACTGATGATCGCACTGGAAAATCAGCCATTATGAAGGTAAAAACGAACTGTAGCAGTTAACAACAGTTCATATCAGACAACTCTATCTGTCGCTAATTATGGCAGGACACAAGACTGTCTGTCCGTCTTGATCGCAAATCGACGCTACACCGATTTCTCAGTCAGCAGCACCAAATAAACAATAAACTAACTTGTTGTAATTCGAACCCACCCACTCGGAATTTCGAAGATAAATTCTTACCATTGAGACTACACCCTGTCGTCGAAATTTGGTCAACTGCAAGCAATGAATGCTGCCTCCAAGACTCGAACAGATGTGTCATTCCAAACCATCATACTATTACGTTCTGAATTTGTATGCAACTATAAAAGTAATGATGGGACACATTGACACCCCTGATTCCCCGATCCAGTACTGGATCACTTCTGAATCAAAACTGCAATGACTTACTAAAACTTCCCCAAGGCATTTGATATAGTCAGCCACTTCTACCGCTGGATCATTCCGTAGAAAGCTCTAGCTTTTGACTGCGAAGGACACTTTCATAATGAATTTCGTTGACCTTAACTTAAAACTCAACTTCAAAAGCCACGTCATGCATGCTCTGTATGCCAATAGTCAGGTAGCTGTATGATGTCATTTACTTACTCGGGGTTCCAAAGGAAAGCTGGTTGCTACCTTCAGTTGTAACCCTGTCCGGTGGTGTGGTTCTACATCACAACAGGACTGATGTACAGCATGCGCCACAGTGTTGAACAGCAAATGAGAGCACGTTTTCTGGACAAACTTAACTTCTAACCAGGAAAGCGATATTCATTGTAATCCACTGAAAATGAAAGACACGATGAAGAGATAACTATGAACATATAGAAATAAACCCAAACTTTTTTGATTTTTACTTTGAGGCCAAAAAATCATAAACCATATTTAGAACATCCGATACAGCAAAAAAGATATGCAATTATAACGACTTCGAAACAATTTCGACAGGAACATCGCTGGCTATCAATGAACTGGTCAGCCACCACATGATGAACGGCTGCGTTAAAATAATAAACAAGAGGAGGTAAATTTTTCTTTTCCTCCCATCTTCTATATTTATGGAATCCAGCATAAACACTTTCATCGTACGCACCTAAAACATGGCAATGAATTAAATTAATTACAATCACATGGTTATAGGCACTGGAATGAATCAATGCTTAAGCTAATCCAATTCAGTTATCAACAGACAGGAAAAAACAATCAAAATCAATAAGGAAACCGATTTTGCGGCAAAATATTTAGATTATCTGAAACCATAACCACCTGCCACCGATAAAAGTAACAAGGCTATTATTCAGGAATCAGTCACACCATTCAGATTCCCTATTATTCACTCACCAATCTGCTGTCATTCATGTGAACTTAAATACTACCAATAAAAGTCGAATTCGAACAAGCACGAGCTAGATCACAAGGCAGGGGTGGAGAAACTGAAACTCCCTCGCTGTGACAAACCAGGAAACTATATACTATAGCGACCACCTGGCCCCACACACTGCCTTTAAGAAAAGAGGTACTCCATGCAGCAGCAAAAGATTCAGGACAAGAGGGATGTCAGCAAAAACGATTTAAATCATACACTAAGAACGGTGACGATTCGCAAGGGGTACGAGAAGTTCGAATCAGTGAGTATCTTTCATGTGACGGTGCACTGAAACGGCACTGAAAACTTTTAGTGAATGCGAGTAGGACATCACATCACACTAAATTTTGTTGCCTTATTGCGACTCTTTATATCCAACATATTTTCCGAACTTCATATTATTTAACAGTTTAATAATGATAACGTTAGATCACTATTAACAATTTACTAGCCGATTTCAGCCGTAGATTCCTTACATAATGCTCTCCATGATATTAGCCAGTAATGTTGTCATTACTGCCATGTAGTAGCAACACGGTTCCCTTTTATAACCCGTTAATGTTCATTCCATTAGTTAGCACTGACCACGTCTCAGATGTTACGTTTGCAGTTAACGTTAACGTTTGCTAAGGACACACTGTTTCCGAACCAGGGGCTGATACCCTAGCGTAGTAGTCTGAGTTCATATTTTTTCTGGTCGACTGCTTTTTTTACACTTTATCTACAGAACAGCAGAGCAGACTCGTGCATTCCAATGCTAGAAAGTGCCCGCCTGCGCCACACTCATGCAATACAATTACCTTGGTGTCCAACACAAAATCGCACATTCTTTTTTAGTCATCCATCAAAGGCTCGCTATTTCAGTTAATGCCTGACAATTGACTTTATTCCCACTGCATCTTTCACTCATCAAGTAAAATGTTCAGAAAGATGGCTATAGCTTCGCTCCATAGGTCTCATTTCAGTTTTGCTACAGTCTGTTAAGCCTTTTAGAAAATAACTGTAATCGCATAAGCTCATGAAGTTCGGCATCTATGTAATTGACTGAAGCGTCTGTTGATTACTGCATAAATAAACGAAGGAATCAGATGGTAGAGGGTTTCATTACCAAATAATTCAAACTTCAGCTAGACACGATTTGTAGGACCCATTTTATATTATTACACTACAATCTAAATCACGCCGTCATTCCCCTTAAAAATGCTACCAAAAACAGAATTTCAGCAAACCGCTTCTAGCACAACTCCTGAAACTGAACATCAACATAGTTTAATCAAACATAAGGCATATGACTGGGACATCAAATAAAGGATCACGACCAACTTTTTAATTTGTACTTCAGGAAAGAAAGGGGGAAGAATTCCATCGAGTCTTGAAAAAAATGAAACAGGTATTTGAATGGAATATTATGGCCAGTTATGACCATAAATACTTATTTACTAGCATCATTATTAAGGTTATTACTAAAAACCGTTCTTATTTCGTTTCATTATGACTAATAACCAAGAATAAAATATTCTACACAGAAGCACTGCAATCTCATGACTAATTAAAGTAGTCACCAGTTAAACACGTACCAAGAAAAACGTGACTGCGAAGGCGCAATATCCAAGGCTACTAAAGTACATAGATCTTCCTCCAAGCAAATACAAAAACAAGCTGACGATCATCCTAAAAAGATTAAATTCAGATACGCGATGACTACAGAGTCAGACACATAAAAATAAAAAACTTATCTAAAAATAGTTTCACATTAGCTAAAAAAAGGTAAATTTGTGGTCGTTGGGATGTCGGTCTTCCTGACATTTACATGAGTGAAGGTCATTTGTAACGCCCTTTATTTCATGGAAGCTTATGAACAGGTGCATGTTTCCGCTTTAAGGCAGAATCAACAGTTATGCTGTACATACAGCATGTGTCTGCTGCTTCCTTCCCACAGAGAGGCACTCACTTACCTACCTTGGAAAGAAGAATAGCGAATGACCCAAACGGGGCTCTAACCCGGAACCTCGGGGCTCCGAGCTCAACATTCTACTGACTAAGCCACCTCGGAGTTGGATTCTCATCTAGAAGACAACGCCATAACTACTGCTTAAATTACTATGTATTATAAAATTGAAGCTGCTAACAGATTTTGAAAACCTGACAGACTAAAATTATTGTATAAAAGCAGTCACTTTACCCCACGTATTTATAACCAGTGAAAGCGAGCGTCTCAAAAAAAAGGATCGCGTCCGAAATCGCCAGTATGTACCGCGTGAGGACGAAAGCTATGTTCTCGAAAACAAGCCAAGCTACCACCGTACTTGACAGCAGTCCAAGTTGTTCAGGAGAAAATCTAAAAATTCAAGCAATCGGTAAGCAGTCATACTGTACACATGACAGATTCGGTACTTGTTTTGTGTTCCAAGGATCAACCCTGACAGAAAGATGTACGTGACCATGGCCATAACTAAAATATACCATTGTAATATATTTCAATGTCTCTGGTTCACAGCAAATAGAGAACGCTTCAGACTGGCCCGCAACGTTGAATACGACTCCGATTAAATCCATCACTATACTTTTACAGAATATAATTTAGAACAATGTAATATACAACTGTTCATACATGCCTCCAAACGATAACCACAACGATTACAGAAATTTATTTTTGAGGTGAAATTAAGCATTAAAATTCAGGTTACATTAAGATTAAACTCAATAGCTACCATTTCATGTCAAAAACATAAGAATGCCATAAAATAAGACTAGAATGGAGCAAACTCTCATGGAAAAGGGTCAGTGAAAGCAGTTCAGAGAAGAATCAGGCTCCGGATGGGTCGATTATAAAGAAGTGTGCACCTGTCGATCTTAGGAATTCAACTCATACAGCCTACCCAGTTAATGGAAGACCGTAATTTTTGCAAAGATATATTGAAACAATCGCCCCGGCGATTAGAAGGGAATATAGCAGGCACTGAATTAAATGGATGTTTACAGATAATGCCATGAAGCAGTGGGCAAATTATCACTGCATATTTAACCTTTAGTAGCAAAGTATAAGTGTGATTACGCCGTGTAAACAGGAAAAACTGGCATATATGTTAGTCTAAGTGGCACATCGAAAATCAGTTTCAGTTAGTAATACCATATCATACCATAACATAATATCAAAAGTGCTTCTGGTGTATCGTCATTGTCACGGCCGTAAAACAATTATTAAAACATGCTTAACGAGGATGAAGACAATGCATCAACTATGTGCTACACAAGCGAGTTGCAAAGATTATTTTTATCCTTTGTGCTAAGGGATTCATACGTTCCAAACAAATTCTCTTTCGCCTCACGGAAGGAGGACAATCACAAAATACAAAGGAACAATGAATAAAGCAAGGCGAATGTTGCTATTCTCAGCCACTACAGCCATCAAGAAAGCTTAGCGTGATTTCTGAAATAACCGACCCATGGGGCAACGCTGGACAAATCCGAGGACACTAGCATATTTTTTTATTTGTTTTTGTTGTATTAAAAATTACTGATGTTTGAATTGCGGAGTTGCTTAGACTGATGAGTTCTAATTCAGTAACGATTCCAAGACGCCGATCACCTTCCTGGAGGTAAAAATTATTGGTTTAAAACATTGGATCATTCTCTAAATGTAAATTACTCATTGCATCGGTGCTGTGAAAGGATGGGGTGCAGAAAATTGAGATGCATGCTTTCACCATTACGAACAGAATAAAACAGTTACTGTTAACACCAAGACTATTCAATTTTGACATGTCAAAAGAGTACCAATAAAGAACCTTCCTAAAACATACTGGATATGTTGATAAGCAACAACATCGCATTCACGCATTGGGAAAAGTATTCCAGTGTGCCCTTGCCAGTCGAATGCGTAAATAATTTAGCAATGGCACAGACCATGCAACAGTTAAATGTTGCATTTCCATTAGTGTTAACCTTGCACGACCATATCAACGATGGGCTAGAGTCATTCAAGGCTGAAATGGCACACAAACACGAGCAACATAAGCTCCTTCACAGAATTGCGGCCATTTGAGAGATTTGAAGACAGCACCTACAGAAGATTACAACAGTGACTAGTCCTTGTTTCTTACACATTTAATGGTACTGAATAATCTACGCTGCCAAAAGAGAATAAAAGAAAGTGGTCTGGTACAGATTCAAATATGAAGTTCTAACTACGAGTCGACATGTGTATTATCTCAGCTACCATGGCCATAGATAGAAAGGTCCTGTACTGATCACAGAAAGACGTCACATTTTTAATATCTTTCACAGATCATTCTGTGATTAACTTGATCACAGCTGATTAACCGGCGAATAATTAGGCAAATACCTCACTGACTAAAATTAACATTCAACCGAAAAACTCTGCGACCATGCGTGGATACGAATCAGGAGTCTTGAACTTGCAAGGCCTAAAACCACCTACAGGAATATAACTAATTTCAGAAGTTCATTATGAGTTACACAGTCCAAAAACCCAAAGACACTATTCAAGGAAGTTGCGCAACGTAGAATGCTCAGAAATACCAGTTTTGATTCAATGAAAGCAAATATCAGTTATTATTAATGACAGTCAGATTTAATGATCGCAAATCCTTTCGGGTAAGGGAGGTAAACTCGTTATAGTGTATCTCCAACATTACTGATCCTGTGCCAGCGCTTGAGCTTCAGCAGAAGGCAACTTGAGCATTGAAAAGAGGAGTCCTTTCAGAAGCTCACTCGGGTTCTTTTTGGTCGTAGAGGTTTTCTGTGGCTCGGTTTGGCAAGTAGTAACTATTTCGCTTTCCATTCTGCACGCATGTAAGGAAATAGTGACTGTACATCAGAGGTCTCTCAGAAACTGTACTCCAAACAATGCC